AAATATATGATTATGCTTCCTCATGAAAGAATTGAGGAAGTGGTTTTAAACAGCAAATGGAACTCAAGAACTCAAGCATTATTTGTTAAAAACAAGTTGTTAGAATTTAGTCAATGATGGTTCTGTGTTATTTGTTAGACTCTCATGCCATCAAGTGCTTTATCATTAATGCTCAAGAATACTAAAAACAAACAAACAAACAAAAACAAAAACAAAAAAACCCAAACCAAACCAAACCCTATCTTGGCTGATAAAAATAAATTAGTGAGGGCAAACTATCAATAGAGAAAAAAATGAAGTTATCAACTATCTTTAGGGCAATAAATCCTGACTCAGAAACGAACATCAGGGCTGGCTGAGTGGCTCAGTTGGTTAGGAGCACGCTCAAGAGTGCGAGCTCTGAGCAACAGCGGTTTGAGTCCTGGCCCAAGCTGAGCAGCTGCTGAGCTGCCAACAGGTGGCAGGATGGCTCAGCTAGAAAAGAAAGAAAGAAAGAAAGAAAGAGAGAGAGAGAGAGAGAGAGAGAGAGAGAGAGAGAGAGAGAGAGAGGAAGAAAAGAAACGAACATCAAATGAAGGAGTTATGTACATGTCTTATTTTTACTAGATTTTAAGCTTTTAAAGGACAGGAGTCCATTATAATGCCTAGTATATTCAATCATTCATTCAATGAATATTGAATGTGCCAGGCAGTACACTATATCCTAGGGATACAATGGAGTGAGAATAAGACAGTTCTTGTCCTCTGGAACTTCACGTCCAGCACAGGGATAGGTACCTCCAACATATGTGGTAGATAAACTAGTACACCTGGTCACACTGGTGGCACCACACCACACCTAGGAACACATCCAGATAACCGTGTAGACCATGTACACTAGGTATAGCATGGCTGTTAACGACTCAGCATTCCTGATCCAAGATTGTATCTTCCCAGTTATCTCAGCTTGAATCTTTATCATGACACCTTACCCTTCTTTGACTAGTCATTCACAAGGTAATCATACTCAGCTCCATCTACTGGGATTTCTGGACTACTAGTCCCAGAGAAATTCTTGAGTAGAATTAGTGTTGAGGAGTGGTAAGTAGAATCACATATGGGTTACACATATATGTATAGATATAAATTATATGTATAAATACAAATATATGTACATACACACATATAAACACACCTATTACACTTTGCTTAATTTTTATCTGGTTAAAAAATAATCCAAGTGTAATAGGTCATAAACCCACTGTTCTCAGGACAGAGAGGCAGGGTGATGAGGGTGGTGAACTGCTACAGGACAGGGAAGAAGACTCCCATGGGCTGAGTGGGAGCTGGGATGGGGAAGCCCCAGCTCCAGGTGTTGGGTGGGAGGGACTCCAGCCCTCTAGGCAGTACTTGATAGCCAGAGAGTAGTGAGCAAACAACAGGTGGTAGTCCAGGAGAGCAGTAGGCATCAGGTAATGGGGGGAAGGAGGCCTGATAGATGGAATAGGATATGAATGCAGAGAAACTAGGAACACAGAGCTGAAGGCAAGTAAGTGTTGCCACCAGGGGTATCTATTAGTGCACAGCAGAGTTGATATTGCAGGGCTGGGGCAGACACTAGAGAGCAGAGTCCAACAAAGGGCAGAGAAACCAAGCCCATGCAGGCTAGGGCTCCAAGCAAAAGTAAAGGGCTTGTGAGCCAGTTCTTAGAAAAGGGCCAAGGTTAAGGCTAACCCAAGTAAGTAGCAAAAGCAGCAGGAGGCTGAATCCTGGGCCTGGGACTAGAGCTCTGAGAATTCTTCCTGCCACAGGGCCAGGAAAGGATAGGGTTTTATGATAAAGGGTTTATTGATAGGGAGAGGAGGACGATACAGACCATGGACCAGGTAGGATCAAGTGGTAGCAGCTACTTTGCAACAAGAGACTTGGTAAACCAATCGTCTTGCAATCAAAGTGAACTGGTGCTTTGAAGCAAAATGGAAATGGAAATGGGAAAAGGAGCAAGTTATTTAGAAGTGAAAATAGAAGGGAAAGTAAAGATTTTTAAACTTTTCTCTACTTTGTGCATTAAATTATAGTTATATATAATCATCTCTTTCTGGTTTGGCTTGTCCTTCTAAACCATGACAGGGTATTGTTAACCAATAAAAGGATGTAGTAGCATCCATGCTGAAAAATGTAGCTGTTCCTTGTAGTCTTCACAATGCTTTTGTCCATTTAATATTGGGTATGAAACCAACCTCAAGCATCACCCTTCCAAGGGCATCCCTTCATTTGTCCTTCCTTACTGGGCTCTAAATTATCTCCATACCCACTAAGACAGTGCTGCCTTCGCCTCATAAAGTCTTTACAACAGAAAAATGACTTTGGATGGATGAACTTGGACTGATCTATTGAACTACTGCCTTTCCTGGAAGCAGAAGTCTCCGTTTCACTGAAGGTGATCCATAGCTTCCCTGATGCACCCTCGCCCTTTTCAACACAGTCCATGTCACCCTCTAAAACTGGGTCTTGATGACAAGGTTCAGAAATGCTTAGAGGAAATTCTATCCTTATCTCTCTCATTCATTTAACAAATATTGAGAGCACTTGTTACAAAAGCCAGAAACTAGGCTCCAAGGAAAGAGTTGAGAACAAGATTAACAAGGTCTGATCTCATGGAGTTTATATTCTAGTGGGACAGAGAAACTCAGACCATAAACAAATACCTAAAAGAACATGGTAATTTCAGAGTAAAAAGTGGTATAAAGAAAACGAGATTGGCTGTGTTGGGGTGTAACTTAAACAGGTGATCAGGGAAGGATAATTTTCTGTTCCAAACTAATGCTATGTGATTTGGGCATGCGACTACCACTCTTGGGATGTATACCTCAAACTAACTGTGCAGAGAAAAAAGGCCCATTTTAGCCCACTCTATTAATCTACTTAAAGGAAAACCATCACATTAGACAACATTAAATTTGGACCTTGAGGAGTTGCCTTTGAGTTTGGGAACCAGACCATTTGTCTCTGGATGTCTCCTTGGTCTATCTGGCTGCTCTCTTCATTTAGTGGAGGCAAACCGGAGAAACAGGCTGGCATGCATACACATGCCAGGAATCAGAGAGAACACGGTGTCCTGCTCAACTGTTGGTAGGCTGGTGGCCCGCTGTGATAACACTAAGGATTTAAGCCTGGGCATTAGGTACGCCTTATCTAAGGAGAGCCAAAGGATGTCGATTCCCAAAGAGAAAAGGAGAACCTTTTGTAGAAAAGTAAGATAATCATGATTTAAAATTTGATGCCTCAATTTTGCCTATTTCTACAGTGGCATAAAACAGGCGACATCAATTCGTACATCTCAGAAACTTGTACTAAAGTTCCAACCTGAGATTCTTATCTATTTTATAGACTGATTCTTATGTTTGAAAATCGAATTAGGCTTTAGAAGGTATATTAACACAGTTGTCTTGGTTTTAATCTGCCATAATACATTGCTCAGTATATATCAATGAGTTCTTGGGTTAATCAGTCTGAATCTCGAGCAAAAGGTCCAGCCTTTCCCCTAAAATTGAAGCAGTGTGTAGTATGTAGAAAACTGAAAAAGAGACAGATTTTAGTTGACGTAAGAAAACTCACATCATACATTCTTCCTGCATAACAAGATACTGTAATCCATGACTCTCAAACCTGAGACAACTAGAGTTCAGGAAAAAAAAAATAGAGAGTAAATAGAATTTAAAAAGAATTTAGAATTATGGATGGTATCTGAGGTATTAAGGGCAAAAGTGGGTAAAAGCAGAAAAGGGGTGGCGGGAGCAGAATGAAAGATGGACCAAAAAAATCTTCAAAAAAGAATGTAAGGGAGTTCAGATATTCAAACAAGAATAGAAGGGACTACTCTAGAATCTAAACATCTCTTTAGGGAGAATACAGATAAAAACAAGTATGAGTGCCTGGCACATTCTTTTCTTTCCCTCTCTTTTTACCCAGTTTAAAAAGACCTTAAAAAAAAAAAGCATCTTTTGTAAAGAGACTTAATATGATACAATTGTTGAAATACTTACCAGAGATTACGGTCACATAGGGTATTAAAAAGGGGCCTATACTCTTTCTTCACATACAGGGCCCTGAATACTTGAACCATTTTTCCACAAAGCGTGAGGGTAAATGGAAGAAAAGAAGAAGTGACAATTATTTACATTTTCCAAATGGGGGTGAATAAGACTCCAGAGGGTACACGAGGTCACTAGAGTGAGCCAAAGGTGGAGAAGGGGGCAGTATTTATAGTGAGCTGACTTCAGTTCTGTTGGGGTAACGCCGCTCCTCATCTTCTGCCTTTGGAATTCACGCGTTCACAGATCATAGGGCCTCGGGCGGTGTTGGCCTCAGGGCTCCTGGCCGGACGCGGAAATGCCTGTGCCGGGCAGCTCACTCGAAGCCGGTCCACCTCCACCTCCCTCTCCGTGCCCCGGCTCGTTGGCAAAGAGCCCAGAAAGAGAAGCCCAGGAGCGGTGGGTGAATAATGGATGGAGTGTGGCTGCATTTCTTTTCTTTGTCGCCACGCCGTGGTGTGTGGGTTCTGAGCGATCAGGCTTACTGCACCAGCCGCCCGACTGCCGCTCACGTGGTTTGTCGAGAAGGGGTCACGCAAAGAACCCCCCAAAAGTGGCCGTCCAAGGGGGTCCGGCCCGCGCGCAGCACGCGGCTGTGGTATCCGTGCGTCCCGCACACGTCTGCTCGACGGCAGCTCTGGGGCTGCTTGGTGAGGAGGGGCCGGCGGAGCCGCGCGGAGGAGAAGCTCCCCCCGACGGCAGCCCGGCGCCCCCTTGCCGGCGGCAGGCCCTCCTCCCCGGCAGCGGGGCGCCAGTTTCGCGGACCCTTCGGGCGCTTCCGCCACATGCTCGGCTCCTTTCGCGTCCGGGGCGGAGCGCGGCTGGTGCTCTTCCAGTGCGCGCGCGCGCCGCGCAGCGACGAGTCTCGCGGAGGCCCGCCCCTCCCCCCAGGCCCCGCTCCCGCGCCGCCCCCCCGTGCGAGTGTCGGCAGCGGCGGCTGCCGAGATTGGAATCCGCCTGCTGGCGCTCGGCAAAGAAGGAGGGAGGAGGGCGAGGAGGGCGGAGGGCGGGCAGGAAGGCAGGCTCGGGCTCCGGCGCGTCCGTCCGCGCGAGACGAGGATCGTACGGCCGCACGAAGGGCGATCGGGCCGGGGCCGGGGCCGCTGCAAGCCCAGGGCGGAGGCCGAGTGGGGCCCCTGTCGCGTCCCGGCGGCTCGCCGCGCCCACCCCGCTTTGCGCCGAGGGCTGGAGGATGAGTTCCCCGGGGTCCGGGTGAGTTGGATCGACAGGAGAGTGCGTATGCGCGCCGGGAGAGGCCAGCCGCGGCGGGGAGCCCAGCGCGGGCTCCTGGCGAATTTTCGGAGGGGGCCGGGCGCGTGCGGGAGGCCCGAGCGGGAGGCGGCCCGGTCCGGCCGCCCCGCGGAGTCCCTGACGCCCGGAATGTGTCAGGCCGCGGCCGACTGGGCCCCGGCGTCCTGCGCCCCCACCCCGGGCCCGAGCCCGTCGCGGCCCCCGGCCCCCTGGACGCCCGACGTCGGGCCCTGGCGGCCGCCCTGCCTCCTGACCCCTCTTTTGTTCCCCACCCCAGGGTTTCAGGCCGAGTTTGGGGAGGCGGTGTGGGCGAAAGCCGCCTCCAAGGACGCTTCTTGAATCCTTAAATGGGAAAGGCGCTCACCTCCCTCGCTCAGGGGCTGCGAGGTTGATATTCGCGATTTGTCTCTATACGCGTCTGCAAAAAAAAAGAAAGAAAGAAAAAGTCTGTTTCGTGGGGTGGTAGAGCCAGGAGGAGTTGGCAAGCCCTCTCTCAAAACTTGTCCGCGGGAAGATGCCAGGTTTCTCGGAGGTTCACCTGTTGTTCTGCGCTGCCTCCGCTGCCATGTCTGTTGTGATTCTGCACTTCAGTTTCAGAAAACTTTCTGCTGGATCGAATGTAACCCTTTTTTTTCTTTTTCCAGACTCCTAGTGGAAAGGTTGGCAAAGAAAAAAAATAGCTTGCGTCAGGGAAGAAAAATAATGTGCTATGTGTTAGGGTCTGGCGTTTTGTGACTTATAGTCTTTAATGCTCTCGGATGTTTTAATTTGGTCAAAGTGTTGCAGGTTTTCTCTTTTAAATGCTTAGCAAATTATTCTGAGTACATAGTACGAACTTGGCACATTCACCTGTGTTACGTCATTTAATCGTTATGATAACCCTGGGTATCGTAGTCCTCATTTTTTAGACGAGGCATCCGAGACGAAAAGAGGTTAAATAAATTGTCTTAAGTGAGCTGGGATTTGAATCCAGGATTCTCTTTACTACTATTCAGGAACTGTTAAAGTGAGGCATAGGGGGAGTTAACAACAACAAAAACCCTCTTTCTGCAAACTCTTGGACATTTAGGAGCACTTTTCAGTTACTCATGCTTGAAATGATCACTATTTTGTTGCTTTAGTTGAAAACAACTCCTTTATTGTATTGTTCAGGAGAAACTCAATTTTGAATTAAAGTAGAATGTAACTTAATGCTTATCATTGTTTTCAGTTGTTGAAATAACAAGTTTGTGAACTGGATTTAAATATTTAAACTTAAAGCCAAAATATTGGCAGTTCTGAACTAGAAATAAGTTGAGTTTCCAAAAGGCTGACTGAAATCCAGAATGCACTTTTAATAGAAGCGGTATTATACTGTTTTGGTTTTTTTCCCCTTTGAAATTATCCGTGGAGCTCATTTCAAATGTTTTCTACTTTCTTCACTTCTCTAAACCCTTTGCTGAAAAGATTGAAGCATTCAGGGGGAGCTCCTTCCAGAATCTACTGGATTCCTTCTATCATGTGCTGCTTTCCTTTCATCTCAGTGGAAGAATATTTTTTCTTTCTACTAGTTAACACTTTGTTTCGTTTTTCTCTCCTTTCCTACTTAATGGAGTATTAATTGTCCTCTCTTTTGTCTTAGGGTTCTTAAAAGTCCCAATGTGCTTAAGATTCCCTCAGTTTACAATTAAGAAGTACAAATTGGCAGTTACAAAATAGTCATGGGGATGTAAGTAAAGCATAGAGAATATAGTCAATAATATTGTAATAACTATGTATGGTGTCAGGTGGGTACTAGAATTATGGGGGAGGATCACTTCATAAGTTATATAAATGTCTAACCACTGTGCTATACATATGAAACTAATATGATATTTAATGTCAACTGTAATTGAAAAATAGAAAAAAAAAAGATTCCCTCAATTTGCAAAAACCTTTCCTTGAGTCCTCTACTCCTTCAAGCTGTCCTATTTCTGCTTTGCCTTTTCAAATCATATGAACATTAAAAAAAAAAACCAAAGTTTTGTCCTTATAAGAGTACTACATGCCCATTAAAAATAATAGTGAAATAGAGCAAAATTGGAGAAAAATTAAAATTCAGCCCTTTATAATCCCATTTCTAGACATTACCTTTACTTCCTGGCCATCCATTTACTTCTTAACCCATTGGTTTCAGATTTCACCTTCTTAAGGGTCAGCTGTGACCTAATCACATTTAAGCCCCTCCTGAGTCAACTCCTTGAGCTTTCTGTAGCATTTTGAAATGCTTTTCTTGGCTTTCCTTCATCTATCCATTTCATTCAACAAATGCTATATTCTGATACATTGTTCAAGGCAGTAGGCTGCAACAACAGATACGGTCCTTGCCCTCAAAGGGCTTAAAGTCTAGCGGAGGAGACATATTGAAGAATGAGTTCTATAATTAAATATGATTATGGTTATAATTAAAGTACAGAGTATTATAAGAGCTTAAGATGGGGACCTGACCTGGCGCTGGTGGTGCGAGGAGAATCTGAGAAGGCCTTTTTAAACATATTACTTCAGAACCTGGGACAATTCTGAAGGATGAGTAAGATATTAAGGAGAAAAAGGAGGGCTTCTGTGACATTGTACTGACTTTGTTCCTCCTTGTCCGTTTTCTGCTTTATTGTTTTCCTTCTTTGTGCTTAATATGTATTCACGTCACCTTTCAGGTCACTTTCCCATATCTCTAGTCCCTTGACATTATTGTTTAGACCCTTCTGTCTGAATAATTCTCAAACCTTTATTCTTCATTTCTGCACTCAAATTCCTGTTTTTTCCAGCTGCTTTATGCGCATCTCTACCTGGTTATTCTGGTTCAAACTGAACTCCTCTTCCTTACCAAACTTGTTTCCCTGGTGTTCCTTATTTCTGTTGATGTTATACTAAACTCAGACCTTTCCCCATTCCATCATATCTTGTCTGTAGCAATATCTATTGGTTCTACTTTTGTGGTATTGTCACTTTTTTCTTTTCCTGCTTACTCTGGTACAACTCTTATACATGTTGGTATCAAGGTTATGATACCAAAATGAGTTGGACAGTTTTCCTTTTTCTCTTTTCAGGAGCAGTTTAGATTGGGATTATCTTTTACTTGAGAGTTTGGCAGGCCTCACTTATGAGACAAGTCAGGTTTCGATTTTTTTCTTTTTTCCCTGAAGAGGACTTTGAGTACCATTTCAGTTTATTTAATAGCTGTTTTTCTTTGTAGGTTTTCTATTTCTTGTGTGAATTTTAGTGTTTAATCCAGAAATGTATTGAGTGTTCCAATCTAGTGTTATTTGGTTTTCACACAGTTCTTTTTTTTAAAGATTTTATTGGGGAATTGGTGGAGGGGAACAGCGTTAGGGAATCGGGGAAAGGGAACAGACAAGTTGCTGTCGTTTTGTTCTTCAGTCTAGTTGTGGAGGATGTCGTTTCACTGGCCCATGTTGGTATTATTGTGCTCTTCCCAGGTAAGGCAGATCAGTCGCAGGTCAATGGATGGCTGCTCACGGTGGCTCTTGGCAGCTGACGCCAGCTGCCGGCCACTCACGGTAGCTTACGGGAGCCCGCTGCAGCTCCACTGCAGCCTACGCTGTTGCCAGTGACTCATGACAGCCCAGCTCCAGATCAAGCTGTTGTTCACCATCTTAGCTGTAGAGGGCGCAGCGTCACTGGCCCTCATGTGGGATCGGAACTGGGGTTGTGCTGCTCAGAGCTGGTGTCCCAAGCCAACTCTTAATCAATGCGCCACTTGGCCGGCCCCACACAGTTCTTTTTTCTTTAAATTTTTATGATTTGATATATATTTGTATATAGTATTATAATTGTGCATATATTTGTATATTTGATCATTTTCCCTTTTCAATCAATCAATTATTTATTTATTTATTTACTTACTTACTTACTTACTTACTTCTAACTGAATCAGGTTCTCAGCCCACCTGGACTAAATGTTATGATCACCTTGTCTTCATTTCCATCTTTATCCAGGTTATCTAATTACACATTTCTGCCTAAAATCTCATCAACTTTTCTCTCCTCAGAAGTTTCCAGGGTCTTCTATTAAATGGAGTTCTTTCCATGGGGTTTGCCTCAGATACACCTATTCTTACTGCCCACTATTTTGCTTCCTGCATGTGTTCTTTTCCACTGCTCCTGCTGTTGCTGTGCTGTCCCTCCCTCTGCTGGGACTGCATAGATTGCCATTTGTCATGTGTCCGAGTCCTACCCATTCTTCAGGGTCCATTTCAAATTCTGTCTCTTTCTGTGATAAAAGTGTATTAAATAATTACCTGCCAAAAACAAGAAGTCAGTAGATGATATCTAAATTATGTGATTCTTGAAATAGAAATTTAGTGATCCTTAGAGATAGGCTATCACTTGAAGTATGTATTAAAACAAAATTGGTTAAAATGGCTATCACTGATTAGTGGCACTTCAGTGGAGATGGAGAGGACAGAAGTTGGTTAATTTTCTTTGTAGTCCTTCAGAATGCTAATGTTTAACCCTATGCATATATTAACTCTGAAAAAAATCTGCAACTCATAATATTGTAATAACTTTCTATGCTGACAGATGGTAATTAGACTTATTGTGGGGATGTATATAAATATTGTATCACTATGATGTACACCTGAAACTAATAGGATATTATATGTTAATTATACTTAAAAAATGTAATAAGGTAAAAAAAATTGGCAATTCATAGACTATGTAAAATAAAATGACAGTGAGGAAACTAAGCTAAATAAATTCCATCTCTTTCTGAAGCCTTCCCCATTTTCTTCTCGGTGTAATCCCTTCTGAAAGAAGAGATATTTTTAAGGCATGAAGTTTTTTATCTAGTATGTTTTTACTGCACTTATTTGTCTTTTTAAAAAAATCAACTCTATTGAAGTATAATGTTTATACAATTATATGCACACATGTTAAGTATGAGTCACTTAGTCTTTTATAGCATTTTTTTATACAAATAT